ACCACTGGTCGTCATTTCGAGCATGTCCCTGATGGTAACACCGCCCAGGATGGGTCGATCCGGTGCCTCTTGCGAGTCATCGGAATGTCCATCCCTTCTTCTGGTCATGCGCACGTGATAAATGACCATGACGACCACGCAGATCGCGCATATTGGCGTGGCTATGGTCAAGGCCATTTTCCAAGTGACCCACGTCGCGACATCGCCACCCGGCGGCGCTTTTGTCAACAGATCTCCGATTATGCATTGACCATAAAACTTTCAAGCGCGACATTACTCGTAGAAACGTTGAACGCTCGATCCGTACAATTTTACGACCATCTTTCGCGTCCCTCGTTAATCATTTTTCATCAGAAACGAACGATAGTAAAAGTGTCTCGTCATTGTATAATCAAAAGATAGCGATAGAAAGTGGAAAATGATGAACCTTCCTGTGAACGAAGGATTTTTACAGACCAGAGGTATTCGTGAAGACTAGAAAAATGTACAATTGTTCCAAACATCTACCGAAGAAGTTACAAAAAAGTGTGTGTAGAGAGAACTGTTGGAATGTTAGAAATTAGTAAAACTTGCGTAACTGCTTAAATAGACTTTGGTCAATGTAAATATGTACTTCAAGGTTGTAGAACGGGCTTCAACTTACGTACATAGGAGTCATGGGACCATTTTTGGTTGTACAGTATGTAACAAAACTTCTCGAATTCTTCTAAGTTTAATTATTTATTATATTCGAAAAGGAAGACAGTAAAAAAGAAAGCACGATGGTAATTCTGCTGGGTGACGTTAAATATGTAAAATATTTGAATTAAAAAGAAAAAAGATTTCTGCCCAAATATCGCTGTGAGCTCGAGCTAGTCTAACCACTGCCCTACGGGCAACTTTCTGAGCAGTTCTAGAGACACTAGAGTCTTAGGACACAGAACTCCACAAGTCATGAGAACGCTGGAAAATGACCGCGAGATCGTGGGATCGACTTTGGATTACCCCTAGTATCTCGGAATAATGGGACTTATGTCCTAGGAATACCCTAAGCTGGGCCCCATGATTTGAGAATTTTATAATTCAAGGTCTCCTAACGTTAATGTGCCCTTAGGTAAGTCCCATGATTTGAGAATCTTTAAATTCAAGGCCCCTAACGTTGATGTGCACATAGGTGAGTCCCATGATTTGAGAATCTTGAAATTCAAGGCCCCTAACGTTGATGTGCACATAGGTGAGTCCCATGATTTGAGAATCTTGAAATTCAAGGCCCCTGACGTTAGGTGTGCCCCTAGGTGAGTCCCATAATTTCAAAATCTCTAGACCTCGAAGTGCCCCAAGGTGGGTCCTATGATTTCAAAATCTGTAAACCTCGTGACGCCTCAAAATGAGTCCCAAGATTTCAAAATCTCTGAACCTCGTGGTACCCCAAGATGGGTCCTATGATTTCAAAATCTGTGAACCTCGTGATGCCCCAAGATGAGTCCCATTATTTAAAAATCTTGAAATTCGAAATCTCTGGACTTCAGAGTGTCCCGATGTGAATACCACGATCATGAAATCTTAGAATTTAAAAACCTACGATCTTGCAAGGACTTGATATAGATCTCACGACTTTGAGATCTTGGAATTGAAGGTCCTAAGACTTTGTGTGAAATGTCCACTTAATTCCGGAGTGGTTTCTGATGGGTCCCATGACTCCAAGTCGAACTTGAGGTCCCATGACCCTGAAATGGTTGAACTATAGTCCCACAACCTCGAGGTAGCTCGGGGCGGATCCCACGACCTCTGAGTTGTCTGAGGCGTGTCAAATGATCTTAGGGTGTGTCGAAACTGGTCGGATGTGTCCCTTGTGTGGGCTAAGTCTCGTTCCACGACAACATGATGAGCATTTCTTCAGCATAGTATAATGCTCGTTTCTTTTAGTATACTATAACAATTTATTTAAGCAGTTTCACGAGTCACACTGACTATAATGTTCTAAAATTCACACACTTTTTTCGTAACTTCTTCCATCAAATGATGGATACGTAATTATGTTTACTGAGAAAACACACTATTCCTAGTAATCACTGCTTTCCCAATAAAGTATCCTTCGAATCAATCTGAATTAACCTACATTCCAAAGATAAATTCATAAAGTTTCACTCGAGATTCGATCTGGAACAACCAGATTACCAAAAAAAATACTACTCTCAAAATACAATATCATTAAACTCGAGAAATTAAAAAAAAAGCCATTGGATCGAACGCGCTCAATTTCTGCGAGCAAGTGAAAAAAGCCAAATGAAGCCTTTGATCCTTAAACGAAAGATCAAAATTCACAGAATGAATAAAGCTTGCGAGAAACTGGTAGATGCAATACGCGGAAACGTCTTTGTGAAGCATGCTAAATGACACTACAAATACATACGCCATACCCAAAACAAAAAATAGAAAAAAAAAGAAAAAGCAAGCATGCAGCAGTTAGTAGCAACAGTTCCAAAAACCAAGGACAGACACATGCAAGTTGCGGTTAAGTACGAGGAGATCAGTAGGCTAGGACCAGGGACAAACTTTTTTTTCTGTACAATTCTTGTATATAAGATACTCCAACGATCGATGCCCGATTTCGATCGAGAATCTTCTCCTTCCTTTTCACGTCAATTTGCATCGAGAATAAAAAAAGGAAAAAAAATTAAAAAAATAAAGAAAAATCGCTGAGTAAAAGCATCGAGAGGGTGTCAACGTACAAAAAAGCCAGCATCGGTCTCGATGATTCCGCTTCTTCCATCGGTGTGTGATCGGCCCAAAAAACCAACGATCCTCTGTGTTACCTGTCCGGTTAGCGCATGTACGACGATGCAACAAACCGTGCATGAGTCATCGTGTGTGGATGCAACAACGCTTCTCCCGTGATCTCTGGATCATCGCGGCTTCACTTACCTGCAACGGTTGCTTGTTCTCGTGGTACGTGGCACGAGTACGAATTCATTTTCACGTGGATGCTGTTAATCGGGTTATTTCTCGAGAGAGAAGAAAAAAAACACCACACAGAGAACAATTGGGAGGAACACGGGAATTAAGTTTTTACGGAGGTTTCCTCGAATCAATGGATTCGACGGTGTCGTCGAATTTAAGGAAAGATCGAATTGTTTTTTCTTGTACTTTGGAAAAAGTGTAAGCCAATCGCATTTTGAAGGGAACTTTTTGAAATCATATCCTTCGAATTTTCAAGATGGCGCATTTGAAGCGCACTGATTCGTTTTTCGTGGAATTTTCAAGATGGCGCATTTGAAGCGCACTGATTCGTTTTTTGTGGAATTTTCAAGATGGCGGACAGTTTCGAATTAGAATTTTGGAGCGCACCGATGCGTTTTCTGTGGAATTTTGAAACGAAACGTCGTTTCCGGATCAAACTTCCTTTTTCGAAATTATTTCCGAAGAATTTTTGTTTTTCTGATTTAACGTCGAAACGAACGATCCTCGAATCGAATATCAACGCGATTCGATCATCGTTCAAGAATCGACGTACAGAGGATCCGTTCGATAACCTTTGAATTTTGAAGATCACAGACATTTTCGAATAAAAATTTTGAAGATCACAGACACTTTCGAATAAAAATTTTAAAGATCACAGACATTTTCGATGTCAGCGTACCGATGCGTTTTTCATGGAATTTTGAAACGAAACGTCGTTTTCAGATGAAATTTCCTTTTTCGAAATTATTTTCGAAGAACTTTTGTTTTTCTAGTTTAACGTCGAAACGAACGATCCTCGAATCGAATATCAACGCGATCCGCGATCATCGTTCGGGGATCGACATTGTACAGAGGATCCGTTCAATCGTAATTTTCAGTTATTCCGTGGTATATCCAGTCGATAAGAGAGAGGGGGGAGAGAAATTGGAAAGATCATGGGAACGAGCGGCCGGGCTCCGCCGCAGGAAACAAATATTCGTGGAATCGAATCGATCACGGTAGGACTCTCGCGTCCGCGCAAGAACCATCCATTTAGCAATTTCACGATAAGGCCACCAACCAAATTGATTCCCACGAGGAATTCGATGAGATGACGTATAACGGTGAAACAGGGACGAGTCACACAGGTGAATGATTGCACGTCCAGGGGATACCCGATGAAGATTGGCAAGTACCTGGGGATAATACCTGTATACACACTTGCTGACGCGCGATGTTAGTGAATAAACTCGTGTCCCGATGGTTCGAATCGTTCGTGACATACACGATCATGCATTTTCTCGGCTTCGAGATGAATCGTGCAACTCCACACGCGATACGCTGCTGGATTATCGAGTATTTCTTTCTTTTTTTTTTTTCTTTTTTATGTGCTCGATAAGTAACGAAGAATTTTGTGTTTTGCTTTTTTGTTTGGAATTTTTCGTTTTCTTTTGTTAGAGTCGATGTTCTGTTGTCGAAATTCAGGTTGATAGTCTGAATTCGCTGGAATATCGGAATTTGGGTAATTCGAATCTCGTGATTCTTGAAATCGAATTTAGTCAGATCTCGAAATTCTGCAGATTCGAATTTCGATCTTTCTCAGATCGAATTTACTCAAATCTCGAAATTCAGTTAAATACAAATCTCCATTTCTCCGAAATCGAATTCACTCGAATCATCGAAATTCTGTTAATCCAAATCTCGTTCATCTTAAAATCGAATTAATTCAAATCTCGAGCTTCTTCAGATAGAATTTACTCGAATTTGGAAATTCGAATCTCGACCTTCTTCAGATCTCGAAGAGTTTCCACTTCTAAGACTCGAAAGATTAATACACCACGGTTTACCATACTAATTGAATCATTTAACAGTTTCCAAAAAATTAATGCACCGCTAAGTAGTACAAGGCCGCGCTGTTCCTCTATCTCAAACAATAAAATTACCATAAAATTCGAGTTCAATGCAGAACCTTCCTCTTCACACGTGTTTTCGTATCAGACTAACTTAATTTCTCTCGTTCCATTTCAAGACAATTCCACCTACACGAAAGTAAACATCTCACCCGAAATTATCTACCTTTTTCCCCCCAAAAAATTAAAATAACTCATCTTCCCCAATTAACACATTAAAAATGTATCAGACTGATTAAACACCTTTAATTCCATTTCAACGCAATTCTACTATTTTTTTTCTCCCCCACAAAATTAACACGTTGACTGCCAACCACGAGATAATTCAACAGCATTTTCTTTTTTTTGCAAAAAAGCAATTAAAATTAAAGTCATCACATAAAAATTAA